CAACTCTTCAGACATGGATTGGACTGGACTGTGGGACATAAAGGGATACTCATGAGGAGTGTGCCTCTTAGCTCAAGTAGATACGTGAGACTAAATGGGCAGCTTCTGTCCAGAAGTGAGATGGGAAGGCAGAGATGGTTAGGAGCTGGTTGAATGGACATGGGGAATCAGGAGTAGAAAGGAGGAGTGTGCTGTCACAGTATGGAGAGAGCAATTAGAGTCATGTAACAATGTATGTATAAATTTTTGTATGGGAGACTAACTTGAAATGTAAACTTCATCTAAATTACAACAATAATAAAGAAAGAAAGAAAAGAAAAGAGAATGTATAGTTTTTCTATGTATTTGTGCCTTGGACAAACATGGAAGAGGGGTTAACTTGTGTCATTTATTGAATTGTGTCCCCCCAAAATATCTGTCAACTTGGCTATGTCATGATTCCCAGTATTGTGTGATTGTCTACCATTTTGTCATCTGATGTGATTTCCCTATGTGTTGTAAATCCTATCACTATGATGTAATAAGATTGATTAGTGGCAGTTATATTGATGAGATCTACAAGATTAGATAGTGTCTTAAGCCAATCTCTTTTGAGAAATGAAAGAGAGAAGCGAGCAGAGAGACATGAGAACCTCATACCACCAAGAAAGCAGTGCCGGGAGCAGAGTGAGTCCTTTGGACCTGAGGTTGCTGCAGTGAGATTCTCCCAGACCAAGAGAAGATAGATACTTCACAAGGATCTTCCTCCAGAGCCAACAGAGAGAGAAAGCCTTTCCCTGGAGCCAGCGCCCTGAATTCGAACTTCTAGCCTACTAGACTGTGAGAAAATAAACTTCTCTTTGTTAAAGCCATCCATTTTTGGTATTTTTGTTATAGCAGCACTAGATAACTAAGACAATTTGTATGATAGAATAGCCTGGGGGGTCTTTCACAATATTCCCCCATAAAGAGGCAATCAGAATTAAAAGACTGAGTTTTGGAGTTCTAATCCTGCATCGTCCATTTACTAGCTTTGGAATTTTGGGCAACTGAACTACACTGTACTATTTTCATATTCTGAAAATGAGTATTAAAAGAAAAAGAAGAAAGAAATGAAAGAAAAAAGGTACTTATACCAGAGAGATTTTGTGAAGATTAAATGCAATAAAACACATAAATTCCTAAGAACCATGTTTGTCACACAGTAAGCAGTTAATAAACATGAGTCATCGTTATTATTACGCTGCCCTTCTCCCCTCTCTCTCTCTTTCCCCAAACCACTGCTACGGAGCCACAATTACACTCAGGTTTGTGCCACTACCTTCTGGTATGCTGAGGCAGAAGAAATGCTGAGCACTACTCCAGCTCTTCATCTTTTTTTTTTCCCATTGTTAAAGAACCTTTCTAGGAAGCCCCACTGTCTTCCTTGCTTCATGAAATTCTGAAATTTGTTTTGTTGGTGTTTTTCAGCTGGCCAGCTGGCTGGAAACTCCTCCGTAGAGATGTATCGCCAAGTGCTCCTGTCTGGTTGTCGTTGTGTGGAGCTGGACTGCTGGAAGGGGCGGACTGCAGAAGAAGAACCCGTCATCACCCATGGGTTCACCATGACAACTGAAATATCCTTCAAGGTACAGTGGATGAATATTGCTAAGTGAAGGAGCTGGGGAGTCCTGAACCCTTTGGGTAAAGTCTCCTGAGATGGATAGTCCTAGGTCACCATTAGGTCCATAGAGGCTAAAATTTGGCATCTTACCCATGGGTAATGGCATCAGGTGACTTGATTCATGATAACAGTTGTAAGGAGGCTGTCTTATAAAGGGAAATATCAATTTATTTTTCTTGTCATGTGTAGCACCGTTATCTTTCTTGCATTTTAGTATTGTGAAATATGATATACAGAACAAAGAGTACATACAACTTATTTGTACAGCATAACTAATGGATATAAAGTGTCCACCCGTGTAACTACCACCTAAATTCAAAAAAAAGTAGAAACTTACTGGCACCCAGAAACACCCCCATGTATCCATTCCCATCAGAATGACCTCCCTACACCCAGAAGTGACCACAGTTCTGACTGTTATAGTGATCACTATTTTGCTCTTCTATAGAGCTATACTAGTTCTTTGTGCATTCCTAGACAATGTAGTTTTACCAGTTTTTGAACTTAATATAAATGGATTCATACTGTAATATGCATTATTTTCTGTCTTGCTTTTCCCACTCCATACTTTTTAAGAGATTGATCCATATTGTTGCATGTATCTTGTTTGCTTCCTTTCCTCTTCTTATTGTTATTATTATATAAATACTAATTAATTATTGTATAATCTTCCAAGTTCTGATGATAGAATAGAATATCAAATAGTATATGCCAGTGTTTAGCATGTTGTTACCTATCAGTCAGAGACCTCTAGGAACACACTCTTAGTCAAGCAACGTCGGGCTTATTGACTCATGCAACGAGGGAGAAAGCACATCATGGGGAACTGTGTGGTATCTCAGTAAGAGGTGTTAGAAAGGACTTAGAGGACTTAGACTTGTATTAGGTGATTTGGGTGAATGTTCAAGGAAGCAGAGTTTATCTCTAGATTGCGTGCTCTCAGAAAGCAAAAGTAATTCTGTGATTGTCTATCTTAATATAGTCTGTCTAGGAGGCAGGGTGCAGTTTGTGCTCATTTGTCTGTTGATAAAGAAGCAGCAGTCACTTTCAGTAGCCAGGGATGGGGTGGGAGTTCAATCACCTCCTTTCTCTTTCTGCCCTTAGCTCCATCCTACACCCAAAAGAACCTCACGTTCATGTATATAGACAGCCAAGCCTAAATATCTAAGTTCAGTCTGAGTCCCCTGCAAAGAGCCATCCCTAAGAGGCCTGTACATATATTGGGACCATATGGGTGGAAAAACTGGGGTCCTAGGTACCTAAAGAATGATCTAGCAGGCAGATGTGTGGACTCCAGGGGGCACGTCCTCTTGGCTGACTCAGGCTTCTCACCCCTTTGGAAGGGATTCAGCAAAGAAGGACCAAAGAACAGAGTTCTAGAGCACAGATTCCAAGGCAGGAGCCCTATTATTTGGGTGCCTCAGTTATCTAGTGCCGCTATAACAAAAATGCCACAAGTGGGTGGCTTTTAGCAATTTATTTTCTCATAGTTTAGGAGGCTAGAAGTCTGAATTCAGGGTGCCAGCTCTAGGAGAAGGTCTTTCTTTCTCTGCTGGCTCTGGCGGAAGGTCCTGGTCTCTTTCCATCTTCTGTACCTTGGCGCCTTGGTGATCTTCATATGGCATGGCATCTATCTTCCCCATCTTTGCTTGCTTAATAAGCTTGTTCTAAAGAGAATGATCCAAGACACACCATACCCTAATACTGCCTCATTAACATGATGAAGAAAACCCATTCCTAAATGGAATTGTAACTACAGGTATAGAGGTTAGGATTTACAACATACATTTTTTGGGGGACACAATTCAATCCATAACCTAGGTCTCAGGGCACAACCAACTCTGGGTTGCTAACTCTTGCCCTAAGCAACCATGGAAACAGAACCCAAGTATATGAGTAGCTATGGAGGAATGAGGATGTGTCCTTTGGAAATTAGGAGACTGAAAGGCAGAACATTGGACTAATCAGGTGTTAAAGTCGCCAAGATTGGCGACAGTGCTTTGGATGATGAAGAAGACAATGAACCACTTGCCAACAACTTTGATGAGTGAGGGGGAGGTCACATCTATTATAGATGTGAGGAAGAAGTAAAAAGTGGTTTGGCTGCCTTGTGAGATCTGGGCTTTTTAGTTTTTTTCTAATTAGAGTATTGGGAAGTAATGTTTTGGGAGCAGCACTGAGAACAAAAAGAACACCAACCCCACATTTTAGCCCTGAAACACTTGGGATGTAAGAAAATAAACAGCTGTCACTTGAGAGAACAACAAGATGTTGAAGGGACAGCCAGGTTTGAGTTTAGACAAATAGATTTTACAGCTCAAATGTACTTTATTTGACAGTAATAAAAAAATGTGTTCAGAAGTATATAATTAGCACCTTAAATATGTTTACTATGTTGTGTCTAGGTAATTTGACTTTTCAGGGTTTCTCAAACTTAGGCTATAAGACAATAATTAGTGAAAAATAGCACCCTTCATGAAATTTTACAACAAAGTTTAACATGGGGTTCACCTTAACTCTGATCAAAATCTTTCAGAGTTTTCATCTGCTCCTGAAATTAGCACTCTTAAGGTCATTAGATTTTCTTAAGTGGAAAATTAGTAGGTTATTGTTTCATTGCCATTGTCCCCCTCCTCCCACAGCCCCTGTTATTGTCCTTTGTTGCCTGTCTAAGATACCAACCCTAACCTGGTTGGATCTTTAAGAAAAAATGGGAACAGATGTTGCTGGTGTGGGGTGGATGCAGTTTGTGTTCATCTGTCTGTTGATGGATGGAGACGGCCCCAGAAGGGCAGACCGTGCATCACGATGGAGCTGCCACTGAGCTGAGGGACCAGTGGTATTGACCCAGGGCCCAGAGGCCCCCCTTTCCTGCCCACTGTCGCCAGTTTACCCCTTAGACTCCTGTGAGGAGCAATTATATCTTATTAAAAATTAGCCATCGTCAAAGTTCTTTGAGTAGCTTTTGGGGAAGATAAGCACCAAGCACATTCTAAAGCTTATTTATTTCATGTGAAATGTTCGCTCCTTGGCCTCTGCCATCACGTCAGCTCCAAGTGATTCTCCTTGTGCACTCAACCCTACAAGTGGTCCTTGAATCACATCTGTAATCCCAGAGTCACAGGCTACTTTGCATTTATTCTTGGGCTGCGGCAGCACCACTTCTCAACCACATCCATGCACGTGGTGACAGGTTTAGAGACTGAAAGACTCAATCGAACCAGAACACAGCTTCCTCTCTCTGCCTGCTGGAGTTGGGAGTGGGGAGGTCAGCAGGATAATAACCATCACCCCAGTGGTTGTTTTGTCCAGCTGTGCATTCTTGCTACTGTGCATGCACAGCATAGATAGTTTGGGAAGAGATGGGATGGAGCTGGGGGTAGGTGGGGATGGATATGGAGAGTAGAAATGCCAACCTGTTTTGTGGAAAATATCTAGTAGCAGGGATTCCCTGTGGCTTTGGGTGGACTTGAACCTCCAACCTTCTCTGCTGGGACTAGAGTGAGGTAACTAAGGCACCTAGGATGCAAACTTTAAGGAGGCCTTCACTCTCATGGTCATGCGAGTGCAGGGTTGGTACCTGAGAGTGAGTGTCTCTTTAAATCTTGCACCCTAGACACCTGGCTTGCACGATTACCAGCATGCAGTATGCTTCTCCAGAAAACAGTGTACAGGGGGATATATTGATTTCCTGGGGCTGCTGTAACAAATCACCACAAAGTGGGTAGTTTCGACAGAAAGTTATTGTCTCACTGTTCTGGAAGCTAGGAGTCAGAATTGAGGATGTTGGCAGGACCATACTGTCTCGGCAGCTCTAGGGAAGATCCTTTCTTATCTCTCCTAGCTTCTTGTAGCCCCAGAGGTTCCTGAGCTTGCAGCTGCAGCATAACTTTATTGTCATGTGGCTGTCTTTCCTCTGTGTCTGCCTCTGTGTCTCTCCTTCCCTTTTCATAAGGACAGGACTGATATTGGATTAGGGCCAACCCTACTCCAGTATGACCTTGTGGTTGTCGTTACTTGCCATTAAGTTGATTGTGACTCATGGCGACCCCATCTGTGTCACAGTAGAATTGTGCTCCATTGAGTTTTCAAGACTGTGACCCTTTGGAAGCAGATGTCAGGACTGTGTTTCGAGGCACCTCTGGGTGGGTTCAAACCACCAACTTTTTGATGAGTAGTTGAGCTTTTAACCGTTTGTGTCACCCAGTATGACCTCAGGTTAACCAATAACATCTTCAAAGACCCTATTCCAAACAAGGTCCCATTCACGGTTACCAAGGGTTAGGATTTCGACATATCTTTCTGTGAGACATAATTGAATAGGTAACTTTGTAAGCAAGGGTAGGAAGAGAATCAGGGGACAAGGCCCTACGAGATCTGCTTCCTGTTACCTAACTTCTTACCACTTTCCCCCTCACTTTCTGTGCTCCAGCCACACTGGCCTCCTTTCTGTTCTTTGAAGATGTTAGGCAGTCCCCACCTTATGGCCTTGGCATTGGTTGTTCCCTCTTCCTGGAATGCTCTTCCCCCAGATATCAGCATGGCTCACCTGTTACCTTGTTGAAGTTTTCCTGAAATGTCACCTTCTCAATGAGGCCTACCACTCTATTTAATGCTGTAACCAGTTATCAGCCCCTTTGCCCACACTTCCGCAACCCCCCCAACCCTGCTTTAATTTTTCTATTTACCATGAGACACTTTTCACCTTATAATGTGCTGCTTAATTTATTTAATTATTATGTACCTTGTTTATTGTCTGCTAGAATGTAATCCGCCTAAAGGAGGCAGGGATCTTTGTTTTGTTCTCTGCTCTATTCCAAACACTTTGAACAAAACGTCCATATAGTAATCAGTTGTTGTCTCATCTTATCTGTACAATGGATTTGATAGCACCTACTTTGTAGGTTTATTGCTTAACACACAATTAGTACATAGGAACAAATAACCAATTGCTGTCCAGTCACCTCCAACTCATGGCGACCCCGTATGTGTCAAGAGTAGAACTGTGCTCCACTGGGTTTTCAATGGCTGATTTTTCAAAAATAGATGGCTAGGCCTTTCTTCCAAGACACCTCTGTGTGGACACGAACCTCCAACCTTTCAGTTAGCAGCTGAGTGCATTAACAGTTTGCACCACCCAGCAACTCCTTGCCATATAGTAGGTGCTCAATAAATGTTTTTTTGAATGAATTTTCCCATCCCAAAGCATAGCCTACATTTTTAGTCTTTCTTGCCCCAATCATCAGGTAAGTGAATTTTTTCCTTCTTCATTCTTGTGTATGAAATTCCATCTATAATAATATATTGGTAAGTAATGAAAAGATTTTCCCCACATATACCAGTTTTGGTCCTCCTATACATTTGGGCCTGACCCTCACAGTATAACTAGACCATATCCTATAGCTACCATGCATATTGTAGTAGCAAAATAAACTGACTGCAAAGGTTCTTCATTTGTATGTCACACAGTTTATCTGTTCTCAGCATAGGTGATCCAGAAAGCCTGTGTGTGATATATCCAAAAAAAACAGAGTTCCTATTGGCATTTACCACCTATTTGTTAGTGGATGGGCCAGGATAAAAGGCTACATTCTGGAACAGGGCATGCTGTAATTCAGCACCTTTATGGAGGGCTTTTTATTTTGCACTTTTAGCTTTATTTATGGTTTATCTCATATATCTGTTCTTCTGTGTCTATGCCCCATTTCCTTTGACTTTCTGATGGCCATGACATTGTAATTCCGCCACTTTGTCTTTATTCTCTCCAATCCCACTAAGTCTTGTTCCTCCCCACCCTGGGCACTCACCCACCCACCCCATCCCCAAGCCAGTCCATTTCCTCCCCCCATGTAGCTGTCTTGTAACCAGCAATTATACAAGACAGAAAATTGGGTAATGCGATAAAATATTTGATGAAATTATGTTAACTTTGAGTACGTTGTTAAATTGAGCATTTCTGAAAATAGAGCTTCATTCCCTGAGAGGAGAAGAATACAAGCTACAGCTAATTTTCTCATCCTAAATGATAATGTGCATCATGCAAACTATTTCAAAGGCTTAAGAACAAAAGTCCACCAGTGGAACTTCTGGAGCTTTCAGTTGCTTCCAACTAAAATTATTAGATGAAATTCAATAAATATTTTCTTTGGTTTTAAAGGTTTGAAAAAGTTTCCTAAGCTGGTGGCTAAAGTCATGGAAGAGATGGGGAAAGAGGGAGGAGAGAGGACAATGGGAAGAAAAGATAATGAGGAGGATATGGAAGTTAAGATTGCAGCTCTGGAGCCAGGCTGCCAGGGTTCCAGTACCAGCTCTGCCACTTACTGGCTGCAGTACATTGGAGAATCTCCCCTCCCAGTTCTTGCCTCCATTTCTCATAGGTAAAACGGAGATGGTAGCAGAGCTTACCACCTACAGTTCAATGACCCAATTTCATACAATGACATCCTTAGAACAATGCACAACACCCAGTAAGCTACTGATATTATAAATAAAATTGGAAAAGTCAAATTTTAGCTTCCTTGTCTATAAGTATAATGGTTGTCGCATTATATACGAAAGGGGTTTTTATTAAGTCAGAGTGAAAACTGGGGTTGAATTAAGTCATTCTCAGTGCTACTGTTCTAGAAGCCATGGGTGCCCTCCACATACTACCCCTGGTTTCCACCTCACCTTTAGGAAGGGGCTAGAAGCCAAAACTATATGGAAAATTAAACTCAACAGGCCTTTGTAAGAGGCCCAGTCAGAGGAGCAGGGTATGACAGGTAACCTGGGAGGCTCCATTGAAAACGCTGGTTCTAAATGCACAAGGCCGGATGTGCACGAGTGCACAAGCAGAAAAATGGGAGAAGTAGGAGAAATAAGACAGGAAGCTCTAAGAACCCCAGCCTGCGGTTCAGGCAGCACAGCATCCCCACGTGGGAAGAGAACCAGACTCAGGAAGCAATGGAGGTGGAGGGGGACTGCCCGTTCTCATTGAGTCAGCTCCAACTTGTGATGATCCCACGTGTGTCAGGGTAGAACTGTGCACTGTACGGTTTTCAGTGACTGATTTTTACAGAAGATTTTTCAGATTGCCAGGGCTTTCTTCCAAGGCACTTCTAGTTGGACGCAAACTTCCAACCTTTCAGTTAGCAGCCAAGTGTGTTAATTGTTTGCACTACCCAGGGAGGGATTCCTTCGATGGGACTGTTGTTGTTAGGTGTCTTCAAGTCAATTTTTTTGACTCATGGTGACCTCATGTGACAGTGTAGAACTGCCCCATAAGGTTTTCTAAGGTGTAATCTTTACAGGAGTTGCATTCAAATGGCCAACCTTTTGGTTAGCACCTGAGCACTTAACCACTGTGCCACCAGGGCTCAGAGGGGGACTAACCCCCTAGAATTCTGAGAGCAGGACCAGAGAGCACTCATTAACCAAAGATAAAGAGAGAGAGACCCTTAATCTGGGGCAACAAACCTATTTCCTAATGGAGAGGGGACAGGGTTCCTTACTTGCTTCATGCTTGGCTCTTATTGACCCAAATGCTGATGGGGCGATTCTGCAGTTCACCTTCATTATAAATGCAGCTGGGGAAGTTCTCAGACAGCCAAGAAGAACACTCAGACAGTCATCATCAGAAAAATTAGCTAAGACTAATTACACTTTTATTTACACTTACCTTTGCAAGATTTTTTTTTTCTTTTCCTTTTAATGTTAAGAATCAACCATGGGTGGAAATTCTATTAACGAAGGTCTTAAACTTAATCTAACTATTGGCTATGAAAACAACATTCAAAGTCTGTAATATAAACTTATATTTACCATTGGTTACAATCTAGTTTTAAACTTTACTTAAGCAAGTGACCAGTGCCCTGGTGGTGTAGTGGTTAAAAGCTCAGCTGCTAACCAAAAGGTCAACAGTTCGAATCCACAAGCAGCTCATTGGAAACCCTGTGGGGCAGTTCTGCTCTGTCCTATAGGGTCGCTATGAGTCAGAATCGACTCCGACAGCAATGGGTTAAGCAAATGACCAGGCTAGTCCAGGAGTTGACAAACGATCTTCTGTAGACCAAATTTGGCCCGCCACATTTATTTGTGGATAAAGTTTTATTAGAACACAGCAAATTCTGGTATATTGAATATACATGTGTCTTAGTTATCTAGTGCTGCTATAACAGAAATACCACAAGTGGATGGCTTTAATAAACAGAAATTTATTCTCTCACAGTCTACAAGGCTAGGAGTCCGAATTCAGGGTGCCAGCTCCAAGGGAAGCTTTCTCTCTCTATCTGCTCTGGGGGAAGGTCCTTGTCATCAATCTTCCCCTGATCTAGGAGCTTCTCAGCTCGGGGATCCCCGGGTCCAAAGGACACGCTCACTCCCAGCTCTTGTTTCTTGGTGGTATGAGGACCCCTCTCTCTCTGCTCCCTTCTTTTATATCTCAAAAGAGATTGACTTAAAACACAACCTAATCTTATAGATTGAATCTTGTCTCATTAACATAACTGCTTCTAATCCTGCTTCATTAACATCATAGAGGCAAGATTTACAACACATAGGAAAATCACATCAGATGACAAAATGGTGGGCAATCACACGATACTGGGAATCATGGTCCCGCCAAGCTGACGAATATTTTGGGGGGAAACAATTCAATCCATAACAACATGTATCTTCTCATTTTTAGGAAGTGATAGAAGCAATCGCTGAGTGTGCATTTAAGACTTCACCTTTTCCAATCCTTCTTTCCTTTGAGAACCACGTGGATTCGTAAGTACGCAATACGTTCATTCAATAGGGAGTTTGTTTCCAGAATCAGGAATGTTTAATCATTATTCATCAGATTTAGATTATTTGACATTTAATTTAATAGTATTCTTCAATCATGTTATATATTATGTGGCATGTTTTCATATGTATATGATGTAATTATTCATTTAAATCTCATTAATGCTCAAATAATCCATTGGAATTGTGAAATCCATTTTCATGCCATAGTATGATTTTTCAATTAAGTACTCTCCTTTTTACAGTGCAGTGGAATGTATTTCTGTACACAATACATGTCTCTATTACAGATTCTGAATATATCAGGCCACTTTTATAATCCTCCTTCTTTTGCATTCAAATTTATAGTCAGTTTTGCCACATGAAAGCAGCCAGTTTCCCATATCCTGGGCTGGTGGTGGGAGAACTATAAATTCTATCCTGCACTTTGCACTTACACAGAACTCACATCACCGAATACTCTGCCATTCCCTTTCCCATTAGTGTCCTTGTTTGCTAATATTTGTAAATATTTTCCTATTTCACAATCAACTGCATTTATTGCCGAGCTACACAAAGAAAAGGTAATTTCAACTTGACTGTTTTATATTCATGTTATCACTAAGTACTAAAGTGAGACACATTTCTAATACATGGATATCAGTTTATCATATAGTTACTCACTTTAAAGGGCTTCAGAGTAAAATGTTCTTTCCTATATTGAATCAAAATTCATGGAACTAAAATTTTAGTCCATGGAATAAATGTCTGAAGAATATGTAGTATAACTAGTATTGCTCAAAAAAGCATTTGTGAACCTCTCTCTTTCATTTCAAGGATCGAAGCCAGATTTCTCAACTAAAAGCCCACAGCACCTGACCTAATTTGGCTCACAAGTTCCTGTTTTCACTCCTTCCAATTGACAGTCATTCTCAGGTCACTGACTCTCTTTGTCCCACTAATTTGCAACATAAGCTTCAGTTCACTGATTCTTAAAGAATTCACTAACTCTTAAAGCAGCCATTTGCTGGTGACCAAATTTCAGCTAAATGTGAAAATTTATTAGCCTATCTATAGAGAGAGATGTTATTTTGAAGTAACCACTTTTATAATCATCTATATCTCTAGTTTGCTTTCAGGACATCCATTTCACGTTTATCAGTTCTTCATTCTGTTTCCTTCTGAAACAATCATCTGATGAATGATGTCATCATTAGGCGCGTAGTTTTTCTAACACTTGCGAAGGTCACCTGGCGAGAAAAGAATTTATTCTGGTCCACTGCTATTTCTCTTCCACCTTACAGGAGCACCTCTCCCGTCACTGGATTCAATACCTCGTCTCCTGCAGCGGCTCTAATTTGCATGTGACTTCCCTGGAGCTCATTCTCCTTTCTGTCCATCGTTTGTAATTAGTCTATAACAAAGCTTTAACACCTTTCTTTCAGGCACTGCAGTTCCCAGATTTGTTGATGTGTTATTTCCTTTGTGAAGAAAAGGCATCCAACGTACTCGTTTTCTTAAAGTAATATTTCTATTTCACTTAGACAAAATGAACGGCTATGGTTCCATTCTTGATTATCACACGTGCTACACTGAACTCTCTTTGAGGTAGCCAGACTGGTCTCATCCACCACCACCATAAACATAATAACAGCTAATATTGGGAGTCTCTGGGTGGTACAAACAGTTAACGCACTTGAAACTTGACCAGTAACCCAAAGTTTGGACCTATCAACAACCACCACCACCATAAACATAGTAGCTTGTCTTTGGAGTTGCTGGGTGGTACCGTTAATTCACTCAGCTGCTGACTCAAAGGTTGGAGGTATCAACAACCACCACCACCATAAACATAATAACAGCTAATATTTATTGAACACCTATTATGTCATGAGCAGTATTCCAGGTATTTTACATGCCTAAGCTCATGTAACCCTCACCACAAATTCAGGGGCTTCTAAGAGTAAATATTACAACTATCTCTATTTTACAGATGATAATACTGAGTCCCAGAAAGGCTAAATAAATCAGACCTAAGATTGAAAGCCAGAAATTTGGCTTCAAAATGCATGCTTTTAACCAACACCATCTACCCACACCTAAGCAGCACCATGTTGAGCTTCAAAGCATCTAGTTAAGACAATCAGAACATCCCCACAGCAACTGCTTGCAATGTTGCTGTTTATGAGACTTGTAACCATCAACCACAGAATGTCTTTTGCAGCCTTCAACACCAGTCAGTAGACGGATCCAAATCTGGGCATGAAAACTTTGTCCTACGTTGTACACAAAAGCCAGGAGGGTAACAACATCATACTGCCTTTCTGGTTTAAAAATAATAATAAAAAATTTTAATAAGTCTTATGTGACAAAAAAAAAAAAAAAAAAAACACAGAAAAATGACCTTCCCAGGATACATGAGCTTATCCCAAAACACTACAATAATCTAATGGCACTGAAGCACTGAGATTGAACTTTATTGTAAGAGGAAGTTGTTTGCTTCTTATTTCCCTTGTCCTTCAGCTCCAGATAGCAGAATCTCTCCTCAGTCACAATTCTTTCCTAGAACTGTCACACACCCAAGGAAAACTGCTAAGCTGGTAAAGCCCCGTGCTTGACATGTGGGCTGCCTTGCCTGTTCCAAAACCTGTGACAGACTGATTCATCAGTCACAGTACTCTTTCCCACTAAGCCTGGATATAAGCTTAGACTCCTTCTCAACACAGTGACCCAGGAGCACCTCTTCACTTTATCAGAAACCTGTTAGCTATTCCTGCTGAGCTATTTTGTCTCCTGTGTGCTGCGTATCCAGTATGCCACATTCAGAAAAGAACTCTGCTCCCAGTTAATTTGGGCCACACCACCTCACAAAACTCATACTGGAAAAATGGGGGAAAAAATCCAGTACATTTTCTGCTTTTCTCTCCAAATATTAGAAATCACTTGTGCACAGACTTCAATGGGGAATCAGCCATTAGCTGCTTTCAACTTATCCTCACGATAAGAAGGAGCTGAATAAAAATGGTGGTTTCTAAATGCCCTTCTACACCTGCTGTATCAGGATCTCCTAGAGTGCTCTTGAAAATGCAGATTCCTGAGGCACACCCCCGACTCCTCTGTTAAAATCCCTAGCAATGAGACTTGGCAATCTTTAAAAAATAATAACAAACCCTCAGTTGACTCTGGCATTCTACCTAATTTGGCAGCTAGCATTATAAAAAGAACTCTATGCTGAATTCAAGAGAAGTAACTTCTAGACTTGGTTCAGCCAGGGACAACTGTGAAATTTTGGGCAAGGTCCTTAGCGTCGATGGGTTCTAGATACTTAATCTGTAGAGAAGGGGGTTGGTTTAGTTCAACTTGGTGGCCCCTTCCCTTGGTGTAGGGAAGTTGACAATTTTACTCCATGAAATAGGGCACATTTCTGGATCAGAAAACTGACTACTTTTCCAGAAGCCTACACTTTAACCAGTTGCCATCGAGTGGACTCCAACTCATAGTGACCCCATGTGTGTCAGAGTAGAACTGTGCTCCATAGGATTTTTCAGTGGCTGATATTTCAGAAGTAGATTGCCAGGCCTTTCTTCTGAGGCACCTCTGGGGTGAACTTGAGCCTCCAATCTCTAGGTTAGCAACTGAGCGCATAAACTGTGCACTACCCCAGGGCTCCGCCTACACTTTAGGGTTATTTTAATATGTTCAGAAGCGTCTACTGTGGCCTGAAGCTAAAAATGTATTTGTGAATTTTGTCCTCTGCCTTTATCTCCACGGTAGCAGATGTTGATGCTGTAAATGCTTCCGATTTTTGTTCTTTTTTTTTTGCTTCCTAACTGCAATTTTAATGCCTTTTATTCTGCAGGTCTGGCCCTCAATTAAAGCTGCTTTGTTTTCTCCCGACTTTTTCTGCTGTTTGCTCTCTGCTCTGATTTCATTTCTCTGTCAGGTGGGCATGTGGTTTTGTTGAGGACATGAATAGTCTGATTACCAAATGGCCCGTTTTACATTTTTCTTGGGCACCTACCTCTTGTTCTTTCCGTCACAGGCAATTTTGACCCAAGTTTTAAAAAGTTGAAGTTACGTTTAGATCCTTACTCTTCAAAGTGTGGTCCTTGGAGCAGCAGCATCTACGTCACTGGGGAAGCTGTTGGAAATGCAGAGTCCTGAGCCCCGTCCCAGACAGGGTGTCTGACTCTTCATGTAGTAGGATCTCCGGCTGATTTGAATGAGTGTTACAGTCTGAGAAGCAGCTGCTCTAAACACTGTGGTCCTTTAACCACCTGAATCAGAGTTACCTGCAGGCTTATTAAAAATGCAGTTTCCAGGACTCCACTCCCCTGCAGTGAATCTGGGCACTGAGGATTACACCTTGTCACCTGCATCATTAACAGATCAGGTGATTCACTGGTGGAATCCAGAGAGGATCGTGACTCCAGCAAAATCCTTCTGAGGCCTGATTTGGGGACTGCCCGGCAGAGGACTCCACCTGTCCCCTGCTTAGATGGAACATTTCCCCCCAAACCCCTCAACTGGTGAGAATATGGTTGCCAGGGAAATCCTGAAAGCTGAGCACCAGGGTGAAACCTGGCCGTTTCACTCCAGGTGAACTTGTTTCAGACTTGAGATCCCCAAGGTACAACTTTTCAAACTTGAGCATGCATCAGAATTATCTAGAAAGCTTATTAAGACATAGATTCCTAGGCCCTAGGCCCCCAGAGATGCTGATTCAGAATCTGCATGGGAGGCCATGAATCTGCATTTCTAGCAAAGTCCAGGTGATACTGATGTTGCTGGTCCATGGACCACCTTTGGAGTACCAAGGCTCTGTGATACTTAATAGTGTCATTCTATGAGGTAAACGTGGGGTTTGGACAAGTTCTTTTTTGTAACCTGGGAAGTATAGGTCCAGTGCTAATGGACTTGTTCTCAGCTGCAGCCTAAGAGCGGGCTGACTTGGTGGCACTCTCTATGCGTGTTTTCATTTGAGTGAGGACATGTGAACTCGAGCATGCCCAGGGCTGTGCCCTGCCCCATCAGCCACTCACTGCCTGCTCACCAGGGTCTCAACGACACAGTTTCTAGGGAGATGACCTTAAGTGACCACCTCCAAATGCTTTTCAGGATCGGTCCTCTGATGAGCAGCTTTTCCTCTGACACTTCTGAGGAATGTCACAGAACATTCTACAGGCTGCATAAGCCACATAGTAAAACCTCACACAGGTTGAGAAAGTCACGATGAGACGGTGTGAAGTTGTGATGAAGAGTTTGCAAGCTCTGTGAATGTCTCCTATGCCTCTCCTGCAGTTCCAGGAAAGCCATGACCTCAGCTTCATGTTTGAACCCCAGAGAACTCACGTGGCCCTCAAAATGCATGTTTTGTTTTTAAACAGAAAATAAAAAGGATATACCAAAAATAAAAAATCCCAAACCCGTTGCCATCTGGTCAATTCTGACTCATAGCGACCCGATAGGACAGAGTAGAACTGCCCCATAGGGTTTCCAAGGAGCGGCTGGTGGATTCGAACTGCTGACCTTTTGGTTAACAGCCATAGCTCTTAACCACTGTGCCACCAAGACTC